TTTGAGTCCCGTTTCTCTTTTTGGGGTTTTTTGTTGTTCTCCCGCCCTGGCGGGGGGTCGGGCTAGAAGATCTACTAGGTCCCTTCCGACCCTTAATCTATGAATCTATGAATCTATGTTTTCCAGTGCAGCTGAAATACCAGGTTTCATCTCCAAACATGCCTCATGCCACAACCTGTGAGATTCTTCCTACAATGGTTGACTGAGCTGAGACCCAGGTATGGGTGTGATGAGGCAGCTTCTGGTGCTTGCTCTGATACTCACTACTGCATCATTTAGTCTGATGAACTGGTATAGCTGAAGATGCCAGGGCCTGGACAGTTTAATTTGTGGTTACATATTTTAGAGATGCACTATATCACCATTGTTTAGAACTGACATCTCTGGCTGCCAGTCAAGACAGAATATTTTTTCATTCTCCATTTTGTAGTTGCAGCATTGGAAAAACATTGGCTTCATACAGACCTCTTACAATTATTTTTCCTGAGGCACAGCCTCTGTATTCTAAGCCAGTAGGGCATGTGCTCCATGAAATAAACTCATCAGCAAATCCTCATGCACTAGAAAAGCAGAGTAGGGTGGACATTATGGCATCAGCCAACAAAGATCATGCCGGGCAGTCCTAACTTGATATGTTGTTGACAGGAAATAGTAATTATACAGAAACTATCCTTTATGCACACATAGTTATATGGAAAGTATAGGAGGAGACTATTTCCCATTCCCCATCTTATTTTGTGGTCTGTTAATAAAGTCCCACTAGTGACAATTCCTGGATGTGAAATAACTTGATAACTAGTTACTGTCCAAACCCAGAAGAAAAAGATAATCTCTGCCTCAAGGTTGTATATAGCAGATTGTACATGTATCAGGCATTTTTTTAAGCCTTCCTCAGAGGCTCTGGGTGTTGGCTGCAGACAAGGCTGGGGATTTTGGCTGGGGTGTGCCAAAGCTCCTTCTGGGACTTAAACCCAGAGGTTCCTGGCTAGGGGGACTTGCCCCTCTGCTCCAGGTCAGACCAATCGCTATATTTGGTATCAGGAAGGAATTTTGACCTCATGGTCAGATTGGTATGGACTGTGGGGGTTTTTGCCTTCCTTTGTAGCAGGTAGTAAAGGAGTGTTATGGAAAGACAGGTTGCAATTCTACAGAGGTTTTAAATGAAAACAAGGCTATTTCCATAAGAGTACTGGACATCACTGTTACGCTTGATTTCCTAAGAAATGTGCTGTGATATGTCTCTGCTACATTTCAGTATAATGCTTCTATTGTTGCCTCTCTGAATTTATCTAGTTAACAGATATATCAAATACTGTTGCCTCTGCTTGTTTGCTTGCTTTTTTAATGGTGAATAAAGTGAATTCATTCACTTGCAGCTGCTTTTTGCCTGCCGTTTACAATTTTCAAAACAAACCCTTTTAGCAGAGCAACTGATCTTGAAAAGAGATTCAAATCTCTTCAGCAACAACTGATCTTGCTGAAGCTGAAAAAATTCAGTTGCAGCTACTATTTAATCTATTCATCTATGTTCTTATATTATCACCTATTAGTACCCAAGTGCCACCATGACAACAATGCGGTCTCTGCTAGCAAAATATTTAGGTTTGGAGTTGTTACTAATTAAAACTGAATACAGAAATGTGAAAGTGTTGACCTGAATAAAGGTAGCAAGAGTTGATCTTATGCTCATTGAAATCAATGGCAAAGACCAAAATGGACTATTCAGTATCTAAGCTGATCTCTTAGCATACCAAAACCTCCCAAATTTTCACCCAATTACCCCCAGGTTCCCAGTGGTCTGCATCTTACTACAGCACATATTTCAGAACCACCCTCAGTCAATATGAAGATACCAAGAGATGGAAAATCCACTACTTTGCTTGGGATTGTTCCCGTGGTTCATCACCCTCCCTAGGTGCATCTACACAAGATGCTTTACTATGCATTAAACTAAGCAAATGCACAGTAAAGCATCATCATCTACATGTGCATAGCAATTACTGTGCGGTAGATTAGTCTAATGCACCATTTTCTAATACTTGTAGATACAGGTACTAGAAATTAGCACATTAAA